AGGAGTTTGAGATGAACATACACACGCTACTATATACAAGATAGATAACCAACAAGGACCTCCTGTAGAGCACAGGGAACGGTGTTCAATATTATGTAACAACCTAAACGGGAAAAGAATTTGAAAAAGAATAGATACATGTGTGTGTATAACTGAACCACTTTGCTGTGCACCTGAAACTAACACAACATTGTAAATCAACTGTACTCCCATAAAACCAAAATTAAAAAAAAAAAGAAATCAAAGATTTATAAAGATTCGATGTGTGGTTGACACTGATGATAGCCAATATCCAAGGGGGTCTTCTGGGGGCTCCAGGAGCAGCTGGTAGCTCAATGAATCCTCTCATGCAGCCATCAAGTGTCTCTCTTCATGGTGCCCTCCAGTGCTCAGCGAGCATCCACCTGTGCCCTTCTGGCAGCGATCTCTGGACCTTGGGTGGCTTTGCCTCTCTCTGCTGCCTGGTAAGGTCAGCTGTTTTCCTCCTCCTGGTATAAACGCTGTGCTGTTGCCAAGGCGACTGAGTGTGATGGGATGCATCACGGCAGCCTCCACTTCACATGGTCAGAACCTACGGAAAACTGGGTTTGCCTCACTCCTCTGGCAAAGCACGTCGCGGGTCTTTTCTGTTCCGTTCGCTCCGTGTCTCCACAGAGTCTGGCTGACCTTTCCAATCTCCCTCGAATTGACTTTCTTTCTTAGGATTTTCAAACCCTCACAGCTTTCTGTCGTTTGATACACTGGGTTTCCTGTTCGGACCAACACTGTGCTCTGGACACAGCTCCCACTTAGGGTCAGTCCTTTCTTGAAAAGTATGGGTTAAGCCTGCATCTTTATTATATTTCAGTTTCATTCTACAATACTGGACTGTCCCCGCTAAGGCAGTGTTAACTCTCACCATCATAAATTTGGGAGGAAAAAATGCAATCTTATTTAACAACAACAGAAAAAGACTAGAAACACTGTCCCTGTGGTTAAAACACAGGAGGGTAAGATAATTCTATCAGACTATGCTCTTTGGATTAGTATTACTGTTCATGTATTTTATCAAGCTTACTTAGGGCGGCTGTTCTTTTAAAGTGTTAATTATTGTCCACCTGAAATGTATCTCCTGTTGTCGTCGGAGAAGATTCAGTACAGAACCTTAAAAGGTCATCTTAAAACGAAGAGTACAGGGCTCATCCCGGTTTCCACGACTGAATCTGCATTAAACTGGCCAACCGTTCCGTGGATCTACACCCCAATTATTGTATCCAAAACGACGGCTGAGATTAAACAGCAGAGGCTCGGCAGTGAAACGACGCCGTGACCCTAGCTATTGCATCTACAGGACATAAAGCAAACAATTTAACTCTTCTTTTTCCACCCACTTCCCATTAAATTGGCCAATTTTTTGATTAATAGGCTGGCTTGAGCATACACTGATTTCAAGGAGATGATATACATGCTAATTAGATGGCAGAAACCATAAAATTCTAGAGGCATGGACTTGCAATGATAGCTTCTACTTGACATAATTTTGCAGGGACGCCCTCCCTCACAGTGATATTTTACGGTAGCGTCTTTCAAGTCATATGCTCCTGAACTTAGGTGACACAAGAGATACCAGACAGGACCGAACAGGTCTATCCAATGGAGACAGACCACCGCTGTTTTACATTGCTCTTGGTTAAGGATTGAAGAATTCCCAGGAAACTTATCTAACAATGATAGAGAAGTATCCCTCAGGGGAAAGCACGGGGTGGGGAGTGTACTGAATTTAAGGAGAGAAAAGCACGTTTTGAGATATAAAAGTATCTGCAGTCTCTCCATATATGTATCTGGACATATACATATTATTATTATAAAAGACCCGTATGTGCCAGGGGGAATTTAGGTTAGAAAACATCTCTGTCAAGAGTGAGTGTCTGTCCCAAATTAAGCATCTGATTTAGGTCATGTGGTTAGAACTGTAGATGGAAAATTTTGCTGCACAAAGGGGTACGAGAAAACCAATGTTCACGATGCTTGCGTACCCCAAATGTCCTATGTGTGCACACCCGTGTGTGTGTGAGAGAGACAGAGAGAATGGAACAGAGAGGTTGACAGAATGGAGGATTCTTTTGAAACCAAAATATACCAAAACACACTTTAACAAACATCGAATATTTCATACCCAGACCATTTATCTAAAATAGAACTTTAAAGATTCAAAACCTATTTTTTTTTAATAAGTCAGGTCTGCTCTCCTGGGTGAGAAAATTGCAGTGTATTTTCCATTCTCACTCTACATGTAATTGTAATCCTTCTACATGCAGAAATGCAATAACCAAGCAAGAGATTTTCACAGACATTAGGTGGTGATGTAGGTTTGCACCCACTTTGTCTTTTTTCCTTTCTTTGCTATGGAATGATTTAAATAGTGGCCCCAGGTCAAAGATCCCTGTGAATTGCAAAGAGTTTAAAGCACATGTGAATAAATTAAGGATCAAGTATCAGATAAAGGTAATCTTTTTTTTTTTTTTTTCCCAGAACAATGTCACCCCTGATCCTCCAGCTGGGAAATAACTGTTCTACTTAAGAATGAAGGGTATTGGGAATATAGTAGTATTTGGATTATATTAGAACTATGGTTTTACAGTGGAAGCTCCAAAGACGCACTTGACTCATAATTAACACTACTCACTGGATATGCGTGCGCGTTTACATGATTAAACAAGGAAAGAGCAATAATAATTAAATGATGTTCGCAAATGGCAAACTTTTAAAAATGTATACTTTCATGCTGTGCCGTTTTTAAATTTTAACAATTTCAATAACGTTGAAATGGCACATTTGCTGTCAACTTTCGCGTTGTGTCTGAAAGCATATCAAAGTATATGCTTTGTGGCTTAGAAAATTCATTTGGCTTAAATGATGTATTGCTGATGTAAGGGGATGCTGCCAGATCTTCCTCGGCCTTAGAGAGGAATTCCTAAACAATGTGAGACGTGGTTATTTCTGGCTGCAGAATCTTTGGGGTGTATTCTCTGTGCCAGCTGCGCACAAACATTTTACTGCAGCCATTAAACACGGTATCTTATTCATATGCAATTATGATCCAACCCAGACCTTTGCAGGGAAAGCGTCTATCACTGTAACGGTGAATCAAACTGAAAAGCAAACAAAAATCCACCGGAAAACACAAACTTTACATAAGGCCTTTCGAGGAAATGTCTCCAAGATAAGATTTAATCTACAGTCTCCCCAAAGAATACCCCCAAAGGGGATGTTAGTGCCTTGCAGTTACACAACTCTTTATCTGCTCAGTTATACAATGAGGCGAATAAACAATGCCCAGGAACGCCTTAAACACTTACCAGTGCTAGAGAAACCCATAAACAGAATGATGGGTGGGTGTTCCTTGATTCTTATGGAGACCCCTTGGTGAAGGATCTCTCATTTTCAAAGACAGACCATGCATCAATATCTCCCTTCGTGTCTATTTAAGACCCACGTTTTCCTGGAAGGGCTGAGTTTGAACATCAGCTCCAAAGGCAGGAAGGAATCCGTCCATACAGAGACCAGACCCAGGCAAGCTGGCTGTCTGCCACCTCGCTTTGCATCTTTTCCTCCAGCGCTTTTCCAACAAGCTCAGTGTGGATACCAGGCCAGCAAGAGGAGGTGGGGCAGGGTGCAGCTTCAGGCACTGGAGAAAGAACCCAGAACCCAGGATCTGGAGAGTCCCAGCTAATAGAGATGCCAGACCATCAGAGGTAGGAATACAAACCCTCATCATTACACGTCAGAGCTGTGCGATGGCAAATCCAAAGACCTAGACCACAGACCATCTACACCCTCAGCTCCTGCAGAATCCTAACTTGGGCCCACCTCCGTGAGAGGGACCCCATCCTTGTCCATAAACGCAGTCGGGCAACTTCATTCACAGAAGCATCAAGTTCTTCCGACATCTCATGTCCAATACTTGTAGTCCATAGTTTCTGGGCGGAGAGTAAGAAATCCGTGGATGGCAGCATGTTTAGCATTTACCCTCTAGATGCAAGCAGCAACCGCTCCCAGCTGTCATGACCAAAAATATCTCCTGGCATTGCTAAATGTATCCTGCGGGGTGACACTGGCTCCAAGTGGAAATCACTCTCCAAGCCCTACTCCGGATTCACTGCAGTCTGGTCATCAAGCCCTCAAGATGGAATGCCCCCTGCAGGGCCGGGTTCCTGTTTCCATTCCCATGCTCCATAAATCAAGACCCTTGCAGAATCAGTCTACAGGCTTGGAGCCCCTAAAACGCTAGGAAATCTCAGACCCTACCAGGACCCTCTGTTAACGGTACTGGGTTGCCACTGCCTCATGTGTTCAGCCTTGGAGCCTACAAGGTTTCAGCACAGGAAGAGTGAGAAATTGAGAAACGCAGAGACCTGGATGGAAGACCCCTGATCTGCCACCTACCAGCCAAGACCAAGGACCCCAGGCCACACAGAGAGAAAACAGTGTAGAAACTTGGAAACTGAGCCCGCACGGTGGAAATGCTGGGAGCGGGGTGGTGCTGGGAATGTAGGGTTGGGGACACAGTGCTATGGTGATCATGGGGTGGAGAAATCTGAGTGAGTACATTTTAGACTGATCTCACGCTCTCTGTATATCATTGGAGTCCTTGCTCCTGGCAGGGTATGTTGTGGAGGATTTTGCTTATACCTAGATTATAAATCAGTATACTTAGGGTATTTGCTTTAAAAGATAGTTATTTGTACTGTTCTAAACACCAGTTCAGTGTTTTCGTGATTACAGACTGATCCAACCCAGTGGAACACTTTTAAGCATCTCTTTAAACACTCGGGGATAAAGAATTCTCTCATAACCTCTCCGCATGTTTGTGAGAGACATTTTCCTGAAGACCCTTGAGAGAGCACACTCTGTTCTCTCAAGCACTCCTGAATGCTTGGCAGGAAATAAATCCCCTCATTCTCATTCTGCGGGAGTAACCCTCCCCTGATTTGGAACCTTGCAGCATCTTGGGAGCCGCTGGGGAAATGAGGAACCACATCGGCAGCTGTGAAACCAGAAATGCCTGATAAACACCAGACACGAGGTGGGCTTGACTCATGCAAATGAACCTTTACTCATCTTAAAGGACGTCTTCGGGATTTTTAAGATGTGGATAGTAAATACCCTCCTCTGACTTCTGTTTGCTGTACTGGTTCAGGAATTCTGAAAAAATAATTTATTACGCAACGTTGCTCCATAAGAATGCAAAGTGTTTATTTTATTTTTGGTGTAAAACATAATTAAGAAGACAGTAATTGTGTGTGTGCATACTTTATGTATAAAATAAAATTATTTATATCATTTCATATATGGACATATATATGCATACTATATGTATATAGTATACTATAATTAATATAGTATGAAATATATAATATATATCAATATATCAATACATAGCACGTATAACATAGTGTGTATAATATGTACTGTTTCAATATAAATAGTGTGCTATTACATTGTATACTTTATATAAAGTATACTATGTATACTACACATGTGTTATACGTATACACATGTAGATATGCTGTACAGAATGTTGACAGTATATAGGTAGTAATTATATATCTATGTTTTTATTTATGTAATATTTAGAAGGGATAGTAGTTTTTGTTTGTTTGTTGTCATGGTAGCATGAGAGGTATAGACTAAGAAGAGAGGCATTTGTCTTTCTTTTAGATGCAAGAATGTCTGGCTTTGGAGGTTTCTCATCCGTTTCACAGTGAACTGCTTTTGAGCATCGCAAGTCCTTGGCAATCACACCAAATTTCTCACTCTGAAAGCCCAAGAACAGCTTGGCACCAAGACAGCTCCTGTAGCATTAACGGAGCTGGGGTAGATATTCCATCATCCTTAGTCATGAAGAAATCAAGGTTATTGGATCCCAAAGCATGAGTAGCACATGGTCTGTGAAAGATCTACTTCGGTACCCGAAGCGCCCAGAGCCTTCAAAACAGGTTTGTGGGAGGAAAGAATAAATTACATGAATGATTGAAAGCAGTGTGGGTGTTTAGGGGACTTGTGTGGATTTCCTATAGGGGCACAGTACGTTTGGATACAGAAGCGAAGTCTAACCATGGGTGGTGTTCAAAACGCACATGCATGAGTTTAGCAACGAGAGAGTCTGATGTGAACATGGCAAGTGTGGAAGCAATGTGATAGGAAAGGTTTTCCTTGCTTTGATGATGGATTAGAAAGGGAGTGGATGAATCCACCTGGACGACAGGAGGAAGGAGGGGGAAATCGGAAAGGTCTGTGAAGAAAGAGTCAAAGAGAAGTGGAGAGACTTCTTTAAAAGTCTTTAAAGACCTTCTTTAAAAGTCTCATGGCACTTGATGGACATGGCTTTGTGGTTCTTTGTAGAAGTCAAGATGGGACCTGGGATGGAAAATCCACTGGTTACGTTTCTGGCCCCAGCTCGATGGCCTTGGGTGAGCTCACTGGTTTTGCATGTGTGTGTGTGTGTGTGTGTGACTGTGTATCTCACACTTTGTGTGAGTGTATATGTGAATGGGTGATGGTGTGTGTGTGTGTGTGTGTTGATGCATGTGAATGTGTGAATCTAAAATAAGGAATTCATCTTAATACCTGCCTCAGAGAGCTGCAGAGAATATATCAGTTAATATGTAGAGAATATATCGCTTAATCCATGGATTTTACAAAGGGTGTCTGGCTCACGGCAAGTGTTTAAGAGTTGCCAACTCTTTTTCACAACCATTGTTAAGTTCTGTGCTGAAAGACGGAGTCTGATTCACCTGGATAATCCCGAGCTTAGGCACCTGTCCGCACACGCTCACACAATGCATAAGTAAAGGAACACACCCAGTGATGGCTTGGTTTCGGGGTTGCCGGGACAACGTTTAGATTTTAAACTAGAGCAGCATCACAGTTGTTAGGAGGAAACAGAGCCAGGCCAACGCTCTTGTCAGAACTGGAGGGATGTTACATCAGATTGGCAGGATACAAAGTCAAACAGTCCGTGCTGGTGGCACAGCTGTCGGAGAGGAACCCCCTCGTGCTTTCTTGGCGAGAGGGGACAGGCTGGTGCCAGCCGTGTGGGACACAATTGGGAAGAACTGTCCAGTCGACAGGGGCACTCGACCACTGGACCAGCCATTTCCTGTGGTCACTGTATCCTCCAGACCCATCTGTACCTGTGTGAGGTGATACGTTCAAGACACACTGCCTTGACACACAGCACCAGGGCATATTGAGGGGTTTAAGGTGAAGGAATTTGAGAAACGGCAGGTGCAGGAAGGACCTTCCCCTGAAGCAGGTCGGGAAACCCTTGGGGGCACGTGCCGTCCATATACCCAGAGAAAAGGAGTAGCCTCCTCTCACAGATGGAGGGGCACCGAGAGGAACTGAATCATAAAGAACAGACCTGCTGTCTCTCCCAGTTTACTCCATGTGCCCCCAAACTGCTGTCCTGTCAGGCGTATGCACAAATCTCCACTCTTCCTCAAGCCCAGTATAAACACGCTCGGGCCTACGGGTGGACCTAGAGGTGATCATACGGAGTGTAGGAAGTCACACAGAGAAAGACAAATACCATATGATATCACTTAGGTGTGGAATCTAAAATACAGCACAAATGAACTTATCTACAAAACAGCAACAGACTCACAGACACAGAAAGCAAACTTACGGTTAGCAAAGCGGGGGAAGGGGGAGGGATAAATTAGGAGTTTGGGATTAACAGATACACACTACTTTATATAAAATAGATAAACAACAAGGACCTATGTATGTATAGCACAAGGACCTATATTCAATATCTTGTAATAACCTATAAGGGAAAAGAATCTGAAAAAGAATATATATATATAACTGAATCACTTTGCTATACACCTGAAACTAACACAATATTGTAAATGACCCCTAATTCAATTTAAAAAATGCTCAGGCTTAACTATTTCTTTGGGTCTTCATTTCCTTATGAAGTCTCCCCTGTGACATAAAACTTCTATTAAATAAATGTGTATGCTTTTCTTTTGTAAATTTGTCTGCTGTTACCGAGACACAGCTGAGAACCCAGGAGGGTACAAGGAAAAGGACATTTTTCCTCTCCTACAGAAGGGACGTATATACGTGTTTATTTACAGACATGTTTTCTGTCGTGTGCAGAGACTGGAAACAACTTATGAGGATCAAGCTAAACAGTGCTACTCTATGGAGGCATAAAAAAAAAAAAGAAAAATCACCTTATGAAGGGATGTGAAAAGACTCTCCAGATAAAAAATTACTTAGGGAATAAAAAAGTGCAGATCTTCTAAATTTTGAATGAACAGGAGAAAAAATTCCCACATTTACATCTATATGTGTTTGTTTGTGTGTTTACTCTATTTGCATGCATATTTATTTTTGATTTTAAGTATAAAGAAACAATGTAACAATTTACAAAAATGTACAAGATTATCTAATGGGGTCAGCAAGGCTGGCTGTATGGGGCATATACAGAAGCTGAGCTTATCAATGTATATCCGTTTATACATTTGTTCTTAAATTTTGAAACATGTGAAAGTATCACCTACTAAAATTTTAAATGATAATGTATCTTATGGAGCCACCCAAGCTTAATGATTTTTCTTGGATGTTCATAATTTTAGACTTAAGAATTTAATTAAAAAGATAGGAAGAATTATTAAAAGGTAATGTTTACAATTTAGATATATGTAAGTACTATTGTCTGGAAATATTTCTGTGTGTGACGTTTCATTAATAGAGACTGTGGGAAATAAGCAAGGATTTCCATAGCTTATACTTCTCCAAATACCTTCATGTAACTATGAGACTGAAATCTGATAAATTATTTTTAAAAATTAATCTATGCAAGCAATATTTACCAAGCAGTTACTCTTATTAGGCTTTTCATGGATGAAATAATCATGTGTGGTGGTTCTTTAAAATTCACTCCCAAGGATGTCACTGAGTGAACGTTTCCTTATGTAATTAGAAAATAAGATTGACAAGAGATGGCCAATGGCTTCAATGGAGAAGAACTGCATGATATTTTACAGAAAGGTCAGTTCTACAAACTGGGTCCCCAATTATTCTGGTTTGATAGCCATGCTTTAATTTAAAAAGCATGGCCGTTTATATCATGTTTTTCTGAAATAATAGAGATGCACCTCTTCATTTCATTTTGTCCTCCAGAATCGTTAGGTTTTTGGTTTCAACGCTGGATAGTAGTCTTTGTACAGAATTTCATTCAAGAAATGCAATGTTTGAGGACTTCCCTGGTGGTCCAGTGATTAAGTCTTTGCCTTTCGATGCAGGGGGTGCAGGTTAGATCCCTGGTCAGGGAGCTGAGATCCCACATGCCTTGTGGCCAAAAACTAAAACAGAAGAAATATTGTAATAAATTCAACAAAGACTTTAAAAAATGGTCTACGTCAAAAAAATCTCTAAAAAAGAAAAAGAAATGCGATGTTTGCCCAAGCCTGAGTGGTCACAATTTTGCCAACATTATTGAACATTTGCACCCAATATACAAGAGGACATCTGCTCAGTACTGAGGACATTTGCTTTGAAATTAATCAAATTTCTTCTAGATAACTAGGGGGGGGGAAATCGTGTCCTTTTTCTTTTTTGATGAAAGAACACATTTTATCAAAGAATACAGTTTATCCAAGTAAACCACACTTACAAATTTTCAATTAACGAGTATAAACTGCTACGGACTTTTTACAAAATGCAAATAGATGCACAAGGGCCAGATAAAGACACAGAAAATGATCAGAGACTCAGAAACCAGCTCTCACGTCTCTGCATGAGCCAAAGTTCCCAAAGGGTAAACACTGTCCTGACAGCGAACAAGATTGATGAGTCTTGCATTGGTTCTGACCTTTTTATAAATGGAAAGCTTGAGAACCATCAAGTGGAGGACATCACTTGAGAGCTAATTAGACAGAAGGAACCAGAGGTCACGCCCCACACCTGCAGAATTAGAATCTGCATTCTAACAGGTTGCCCCGGGGGCTTGCTTTCCTCTTAACCTGTGATTCCTACTGATTTAAAAGAAACCACCGCTTCTTCCTTTTCTGATGACCCTTATCTCATGACCATGCGGTCCCCGGCGCATACTAATGATATGAAGCAGGACCCCACAGGGCTCCTGGGCACAAAAGCCTTTGTGCGCCACCCCCCCATTTGTTGGTTACAGGAAATAGGCTTCATTCGGCCCCCAGGACCTTCCCTGAGTTCCAACGGGGCAGGTTCAAACAGATGCTAATCAGGGAAGGGAGGGGATGCAGAGACAAGGGAGGAACAGTCAAGAGAAACAATGGTGCAGCCTGGGGTCCTGGCTTCCCCTCAAGGGATACATGTAACAATATCTTTCAGCTGTGTTGCAGATCCTGAAAGCCCCACCAGGTGGAAGACGTTAACTGCCTGCTGCCCACCAGCACACAGACCCCAGACCCGCTGGAACCAGAAGGTCAATGATGCTGACTTCCGATGACCTCACCACCACCCAATCAAAAGAAAGTCCATGAGCTGATCACACTCTCTTTGAACCATAACTATAAAAGTTTCTACCCTCTCCAAGTTGGGGGACACGGTTTTGAGGGCATTAGCCCACTGTGTCCCCCTTTGCCTGGCAAACGAATAAAGATATTCTCTTCTACTTCACCCCAAACTCTGTCTCTGAGATTTAGTTCGGTGCCGGGGTACAGAGGCCGGATTCAGCTTCACTAATGGACCATCTCTGAAAGAAGGGTCCCCGCCGCAGCAGTTCACATATGTCACAGTATCTTCTGGACAGTGGTAAAATGTGTGTTGCACGGATTACGTCTTAAAAATTGCTGAAAGCTTTCATAACTCCTCGCTCTAACCCTGATACAGACAGCTGAAGATATACGAAAGGCTAAGGGTATAGGAAAGAATGAACTAATTATTAGTTTGGTCAATTAAAGATATTTAGATTGACATATGCATTGTATAGGGTGATAACTTTTCCCTGTTTTTGGTATGGATATAACTCCTTTGCTAATACACGAATTATGTGGTTAGGATGGTGGATGCGATTTCATCAGCAATTACATTCTTTCTCCTTAGCATTTTCTCTTCTCTGTAACAGGCCAGTCCGTACTTTTGACCAGGTGGTTACTTCCCTGGCCTCTGTCTTGACTTGTCAACCAAAGTGTGCTTTCAGCTTGGACGTCTGAGGTGATTTTAAGGTCAGCTCATTAAGCATCACCTTCTTATGTCACCTGTACGTAGGTCGTTGCCTATACTTCTATATCTTTCCTTGTTTGTACGGCTACCACAAGAGTCTGCATCATTGGCCAGCTTCAGGAAATACGTATCTTTTTTCAAAATTCAGTGAACATTGTCTGTCTAGAGGGAAGAAACCTATTACGGCTTTTGGATTTTACAAAGGTTCAAATATGTAAACCTGAAAGAGGAATTCTCTCTTACAGGTTCCTGGAGGAATTTTCTGCATTATTCAAAAGGTCTCTCCTCTGCGACAGAGTTTGTATATTGTAATCCTGCCATCCCACCCACTTGCCCATGGCTTCAGTGACATGCGGTCATCATTTTCTTGTCATTCTTGAACAAGCCATTGACTAAAATTGCATTATTAAATTACTTGGCAGAGAAACATTTATTCTGACAAATAACATGTATAAAGAACAAGAACCCATATAAAGTAGTTCTCCTTACAAAATGATGAGTCTTAAAGAGATAAAATTACAGAAAGGTCAGATCTCAAAATGCCTCTTCTTTGAAACTTACTAACATGATTAAAGAAATAAGAAAGTATCATATTAAAAATACACTGAGAAAATATGTGCATCTCACATACCTGACAGAGGAGTAATAGGCAGAATATCTTAAAAATGTATCCAAACTCAACAATAAAATAAATCAGACAATCCAATTAGAAAATGGACAAAACACAGGCATTTCAAAGAGGTTGGACTGATGGCAGGGAGGCAGATGAAAAACGATATAGTGTTATCAGGAATTAGGGAAATGCAAATTAAAATCACAAAGACATATAGCCACACACCTATGAGAATGACAAAAATATATATATACTGACAACACCAAATGCTGGCAAGGACGTGCAGAAACTGTGTCACTCATACATTTCCATGGAAATGTAAATGGCACTGACCCTCAGCAAAACAGTTTGGTAATTCCTTAAAAAAAATAAACAAGGAGCTACTTACTATACCACCCAGACCTTTTGGACATATAGCCTAGAAAGATGGAAGTTTGTGGCTTCACTTGTGCATAAACTCTTGTTCATAATATTCTTACCACCTTTATTCATATAGGCTCAAACTGGAAGAGCCACTAAATGCTTCAGCATGGGAATGGTGACATAATCGTGTACATCCATAGAACGGAATATTACGTGCTTGAAATTTTAAAAAAACTTATATACACACACACACACACACATATATACAGCGAGAAGAGAGAAGAGATTGGTGGTTTCCAGGGGTGAAGGGGTTGTTAAGAAGGGTAAGGAAGGTGGAAGTGGCCATAAAAGGACACATGAGGGGGATTCCCTAGTGGCACAGTGGTTGGGAGTCAGCCTGCCGATGCAGGGGACACGGGTTCGTGCCCCAGTCCAGGAAGATCCCACATGCTGCGGAGCGGCTGGGCCCATGAGCCATGGCCACTGAGCCTGCGCATCCGGAGCCTGTGCTCCGCAACGGGAGAGGCCACAACAGTGAGAGGCCCGTGTACCGCAAAAATGTAAATAAATATAAAGAGATTTTAAAAAATATATGCGTACACACTTAGTCTTGTAATTTCAGGCAAGTAAGTCTCAACACCATTTTGCATCTGTTTTTGTATAATCGGGATAACACAGATGTCCTGACCTATTGTAAAAGAAAATTATGTACTATCAGTCAGTCAAATGTGAATGAACACGCTTTGGAAATTAAAGGATAGGAAAAAAAAAAAAGGATTCTCCACGTGAGGAAAAGTCTGTATAGCGGAAATGACTAGTGGTTTTATTTGTGCCTCTGAGATAATGTCTACCCTAGACTACGCCTTCTTCTTCTGTATATTGCTGGATGGAATACTGATGACTGAGGACTGTGGAGAGCCCCAGCATAAGTCAGCTAGGGCGTCCATGACAAAGTACTCCAGACTTTGGGTCTTGCACAAGGTACAGTAATTGTTTCCCAGTCCTAGAGGCTGCAAGTCCAAGATCAAGGTGTCTGCAGGGCTGGCCTCTCTCCTGGGTGTGTAGACAGCCATCTCCCTACTGCGTCCTCAAAGGGTTGTCCCTCTGTGTGTCTGTGTCCTAATCTCCTCTTCCTATAAGGACCCCAATTCTATTCCTATTCCATCAGGACCCACCCTAATGACCTCAGTTTACCTTCATGCCCTCTTTAAAGACCCCAGCTCCAAATACAGCCACATTCTGAGGTCCTGGGGGTTAGGGGCTCAATGGATGAATTTTGAGGGGATGCAATTCAGCCCCTAAGGACCCCCAATACCCTTCAAGAATTATCTTTTTTTTTTAATTTCAGTTACATTTGGGGCAGAAGCTGTGTTAGACTTTGAAGAAACAATGCCCGTAGTCTCTTCCAAAGGCAACCAGGACAAAGATGAAGTTGGAGCAAAGGTGTTAGGTTTTTGTTGTTGTTGTTTTTTCCCTTACTGCCAACATGCAACTTTTCTCTAAATCTGACACATACCTTGAATTCTTCCTCTTCTCTCCATCTGCACTATTAATACCCCTGTCCAAATCTCTATCGTCCCTCGTCTGGACTACCGAAATACCTCCTAGTATGTCTCCCTGAGTTTGCTATCATTTCAGTCCTAGAATCCACTGTCTACAAACAGCCAGAATAAGCTACTGATGTTTTTAAAACTTATATTAAACATATCACTTTACTGCTCAAAATGAGTGCATTTCTGATGCGCTAAGAATCAACAGCCCACGATGTCCTAGGCAACTTTCAAGGTGTTAGTTTTATCAAGGCTATGTTTATGGCACCAAAAACACAGAAGGATTCTGGAGTTAATGTTATATTTCAACATAAATGGGCATCATGATTCTCCGTATCTGTTCATCTCTTTCTTTCCAGGCTGCTATAAATTTGTATGATGTGGGTAAAGGAACTGGATATTCATGGACCTCATTTCTTATCTATCTATTTTTGGTGGGTTATGGTGAATGGAAGCATTCGTAACATTGGCCTTTTGCCTGTTTCTGCAGAAACTCAAAGGTAGAGATTACATTCTGCTCAGGTGGAGGTGTTCTGTTTGTGTGTTTAACATTTATATTTTTATTGCCTTTGGACTCTGTTCCACTTAATGCTTCTCACTCAAATGGCTGTTTATGGGTGAAGAAGGACTCAGAATATGAGTGAGGGAACTTCATCTTGAAAGAAGAAAGTAATCTAGCTGGACCTGAAAAATGTGAAAGAAAAAAAAGAAAACTTCCTGTGGATAAAATGCTTGAGGTATTAACTAGAAATAGATGTATTACAGATTGAAATTATTAAAGATAAAGATAGTAATTTATTAATTATCTTTAGGAGTACCACAACAATCATTTCTGCATCGGGTGTAAGTACAGAACATACAAGTGAACATGAGTACTGTGTTCAAACTTCTACCTTACTAGGCCCCGATACTAAAGTCAATACTATACTTGCATTTAGAAGAGTCTATGCTCAGTTTCAGTGGAATAGACTTCTCAATACCAAAATGATTTTTGAAAGAGATGATTTTCTGCCCATGAAAGCAATGAGAATGCTTGCTAACTTTAACGGGTTTCTCCACCGCAAAATCAAGTCTTCAACCAAATGTGTATGTATTTTTTCACATTAATTTGTATGCCTCATGTCTTCCAAACAGCCCTGTATACTGCAAGCCTTATTTTAAACTCAGCGTGCCTCTTGCCACCAGCGGTTTATTTGGAGTAATTTAATGCATATTGCAATCCATTTCCTTCAAGAAGGAAAGTTCGAGGCAAGTGAAGACACCAGTCCCTTGGTTTGTCATTAAACTCTTAAGGGCTTGGGGGCCAGGATGGCCAGGATCAAGGACTTCCATTTGTCTTTTCAGATGCAAAGTTTGGCTGTATACTTAGCGTTCCAGGAACAATTAAATTCACACACAATAGAATTTGCCAAAGGTAAACCAGGCAGGGAAAGCAGATGCTATCAGGTTGCTTGCTATGTGTAGAGACGCCTGAACGGTCTCCCCTCGGAAGATGAGCCTCGTGAAGCATCTCCGTGGTCCTCTGCCCTCCTGGTTGTCAGGGAGATGGCACAAGGAGAAAAGGGATTCACAGGAGGTGAGCAGAGAGTCAAGGGCCCCGCTGTGGCTGACCCAGAGCCACGCCTGCGCTACAGTGATTCCGGCCTCCTCAGGGTCAGGGGCCCATCGGAAGCGTCACGTGGTCTGATGTGAGGCCTCCGATGGGTGAGCCCTCCCCGACGTGTCAGTCAGCAGAATGAAGGTACCTCCCCAGGAGCTGCCTTTGGTTGAAGGCAGCATTTTCCAAATGCCACATCTGGAGGAATATTCCCCACGTTCATGGTGACATGAGGGA